TGTGACCCCTGTTCACCTTTGGTGTAGCACTACCGTCAAGAATTTAGTGAAATATATTTATGATTTCAACGAGATAAACCTATTTGATTTTAATGACCCCACAACCCTGCCTTTCTCACACCTTCAGGACAAACTTGCACTACATGTTTTTCTTCATTAAATACTTAAATAATAGCATGGTGTAATAAGCATTACATACTCCAGAGACAACTGCGGGGCTTGCGTCTTAAGTGTTTGTTTTACGTGTGCATGGGTGTGTTCAACTGTGTCTACACCATGTCTATACAGTATGTGAGCAAGATTGAGTGTAGAACAAAGTGCCAAGTTTTTCGCCACAATTCTGCTTTAAAAAAATCTAACCTTTCACTTTTTATCAGCTTCAAATGGGAGAACTCCGTACACAATGCACAATAACAGCCTCTTTTTGCATGCGTGTCTGTTTCCACATACTGAGACAATTCTTCACACAGCTTTCTGAAAATCCATGTGGACACATTTTATTGTGATGCACAAAACCACGCAAACGACGTGTCTCTCAGGCTACAGCTATGAAGCATGCAAGAGAGTGAGCATACAGAAATGAAGCTACAACATTCCCTGTCGGGCTTAACGCTAGGGATCCTAAGCGGATTTACAGTGCGATATCAGCACTAAGCAGAGTGTTCATTACAGGTATCAGGACTTTAAGTTGATAGTAGAGTTAAGAAAGGAAATGCTGACATGCTTCCAGAGGAAGGAAGGTATATGAAGGCCAGATTATAATGCTGAACATTACCATGCTAAATGCAGGCAGTGGGAGATAGAGAATGAGAGGTAGAGGAAGAGAGCATCTGTGTATTTGAATATGTGTTAATGCGTGTCTTCCTAGAGCCAAGTTACAAAACTGCAGTGATGACTAACACGTACAGTGTAGAAGAGGAACATATTTCTATTAGATGTTCACACAGGTCATAATTTTAACATGCTAAATTACTACAATGGCTGTTTTGTGCCAGCAACCATTATTACAAAATAATAATTCTGAATTTATAATGACATATTTGTGTTGACAAGTACAAATTGGACCATCAAAAGCAAACATACACATGGCAGAAATTTCCTCTACTTAGCTTTTTACATGAAAGCCCAGGGAGAAGCATCAGATAGCATGGAGCACTCGTCATGCACAATCGGCCATGAGCCTCTCTCTTGACGAGGCCATCAGCCTTAGAGTGCTTTCCAGAACACTCTCGTGCCAGACTAGCCTTTAGCTTCAGTGCCTGGCAGCACCAGCTGCTACGCACTGCCAGTCGTGCTTGCACAGGGAGCAAATGCTCCATTGCGGAAGAGATAAGTAAATGTTACTTATTCTATGTACAAAGGCAGTATTGTTGTATGTACCTTGACACAGGCCGATAACACAGGCCCGAAGCAAACAGCTCTCTGAGGGTGGTGGTAGAAGGATGCATCTCATATGTCAGTATGTGAGTTATCATGAAGCTGAATGTGCTTAGGCAGGGAGGAACAAAGAAAAGATGATGCAGGGTAAGAGTTAAGTCACTTTTGGTTTGATGGATAGACTTACATGTGAAAATATTTAAAATATATACAGTATTGCTCTGTTCTGTAAGTACAATAAATCAGGCCATGCTTCTTTATGCAACAGTAATATGCTGTGGTCATCTACATCCACAGTACATATGGAGAGAGTGTACGTGTGACAGTGTGTGAAAAAAGATTAAGCTAAAGAGGGGAGACAGAGAGATAACTACACGGAAAGTGCAGACTGCTCTTGGGAAAGCTCTCTTTCTCTCTCAGAGGAGAGGGAGGCCATCTGAAGAGGTTATTTATTTTTCATCTGGAAACTGAAGAGCGGTGGGGAGAGCCCCAGTGGAATTACTGACTGGAGATGGGGCTCCTGGGGCTACTGTCTCTCTCTTCTGCCTCTTTCTCCCACTCCCGCTCACTTTCCATCTCCCACCTTTCTGATCTTCACCAGAGAGCTGCCACTGTCTCTCTGGGAGAAGGGGGAAGAGGAAAAGAAAAAGAGGAGCTGCTCATTCTCAATGCCATCTTTGCCTGCCTCACAGTCAAACTCTATTCATCCCACACTCCTGTGGTCTGCAGAGCTCTGCTTGGCTTTGCTCAGCTGTAACTGCATCTAGCAAGCTGAGCCGAGTTGTTCTTCAGGCTCCTCCCAGGCTTGTCTGTCTCTACGTGGGAAGCATAGCTTCTTATCCCAGCCCTCCTCATTAACAGCATTCCCATCACACTCCAGAGTCATTAAAAGAGCCACTTGTCCTCCCCCGTCCCCTCTGGTGTTTTCCTTTCATCATTTCATTTCTCTGTTCGGAAGAACCGGTGGTGTGAATGTCTTGGCTGACACCTTTACTCCACCAGGACCAGAGTGAATTATTGGGAGGCAGAGAAGTGGGGCTACATAAGCTTTCTAAGGCCGCCTCTCCATGGCCTCTTCCAGGCATTCTTATGTTGTCATGGGAGCCAATGAAAGACTGCCTTTCTGCTCCCTATTTCTCTTAATGAACAAAGGTGTCAAATGCATCCTTGCATTCAGGTCATTTGGGAGGTTCCCCATAGCTGCAAAAAGTCAAGATACTAAAAATAAGAGTGCTGCACAAAGTATGCAAGGAGCTCATACTTTCAGACGGATGTGAGGCAATCCCTTCCCCTTTCTACCATCTAGGGAGGGATCCAGGCCTTGTGTCAGTGCAGGTTTTCAGCAAAGCACATAATTAAGATGACATTGTACAGTACAGTAAAGTGCTCCACAGCAACAAAGCTCCTCTGTAAGAATTCTCACCTGGTGAGAGTGTGGTAACCCAGGAGTTTGCCATCTCCATGCGACTTTCTTCCATATTCCAGCTGCTGTGCTAAAATACAAACCCTCTTTGATAATTTATATGACAATCTGGATAAAAACAGGATGAGGGATGATAAACCATCAAATGCTTTTACATTAGAGACTAATAGAGGACCTGCTGCAAGAGTAGAGTAGTGTTTGTACAGGACACACTCTTCATTATTCCTCAAATAGAAACAAGCCCGGCCTCTGCTAATCTTCCTCACAACAGTAACACGAAAATGGACTCAGCTTTCGCTGCCTCTCTAAGACATGAGCTAACAATGGATGTAGAAGAAAATAAAAATTGCACCCCCCCACCCCCCACATGATAACCTCCTTATTTCCTTCCTCATCCTTTTGCCTTTCTCCCTCTCCAATATCTTCCTCTGCACTCCATCCCCCGCCTAGTTAACTTCATTGGTTGGAGAGGAAGAATGCTGAGGATGCAGGACTAAGGAGAAACCAGCATCAATTAGACTCTAAAGTGCACTTTATTTTTTTGTCCCCCCATGCCAAATTAAATTACTCTATAAATTAAAAAAAAAAAAACAAATGGAAAAGCAATGAACTTTAATTATTGAAGCAGAACCTCAGCATGGGTCATTGCTCACTACACTCCGGTTCACTGTGTGCTCTCAGTGTGCTCTGGCTTGGGGCCACTGTTTTCATCTGCTCAGAAACCTAAATTTCAGTGAGAGTCAGTCTCACTTTCAATGATCAAACCCTTTACATGGTCCAACAAATTATTAACACTTGTATCCAGGTGAACTGTCTGTATTTGTCCACATTGCTGCAAACGACCTCTAACTATTCACAGGATTCATGGAATAAATCATACCTATTTTAAAGAGTGATATTCTGACACGTTCAAAGAAAATTTAGTAAATATTTAAAAGTGTATGAATAAAAAAAAGCTAGTCACACATGTTAAAAGGCTTTCTATTGTTGCTTTTCTCATTCTCTTCTTATGTTCTCACTCATACACACTGCGTGTAACAGAAGAGATAAACCACTTTTGATAATTCAACTGAGAACACTAGCGACTCAGTGGGAAACAAATTAAACATGATAACTAAGACTGTGCTTCCCCCCGTGTGGATCAGATAGATGGGGTAACGCGTGTCTGAGAGCGAGCGAGACAGAGAGAGGGGAGAGAAAGCGTGAGACAGCAGCTGTGATTCCCCTCTATTTCTTTTCTGGGAGGACTGCCAGGTCAGATGGCATGGCACAACGTGACCTGTGTAAAATGTTACTGCCATTTGCCAGTGTTTTATCTTTCTATTTTAAGTGTGCAGTGTAAATTCTGACCTGTACTGAAAAATATGTGGAAGATCTGGATGGAATGCTAAGAGCAACCTTTCATTTAAATCCACTCACCTTTCCGGCTACAGTAAAGTGTCGATAGAGAGCTGAGAAAAACTGAGGATATAAAATGGCTGAAGGCATATCATGACTGATAAAGGCTCTGTGTTACTTCCCAAGTCACAGTAAAAAACTAAGATTATTAGATTTTTATGTTTTCCTTCACAAGGCATGGTGCTTTGTGCATGCAATGAATTAAAGGGACATTGTGTAGGAATTTCTCTCATCTAGCGGTGAAATTGTATTTTGCATTCAAACGAATAGTGCTCTCTAGTGCCTCGCGTTTTCAAATGTGTATTGCAACTACGGTAGCCGTTATGTACCAAGAAGCCTACCTGTCGAGGAGACAGGTAGATAAAGTAGATCAGTCTAGTGTTACAGGTCAACAGATAAGCTTGCTGAAATATCCTTGTTTACATGCTGCTTTCATATGCGGTTATTAAAGACTTTCATTTTATAATCGTGATCAACCACCAAACTTTTGTTCTGAATTACTTGTGTTGGCTGCTAATGGATGTTAGACAGCAACACCCTATAAGAGAATGCAGTTTAATACTAAAATACCACTAAATGAGGCCAAAATTAAATTATTGATTGAACACTTCTTACAGTCTCGACAAAAAGAGAACATTTAGTTTTTTCTATTGCAGGGGTATTTAGGTAACCCCAACAGAATGAGTATAACTGAATGGTAAAATGTAAATTTCAAGTAATATTTGAAAGTCATTAAAGGTCCATTGTGTAACATTTAGGAGGATCTATTGTCAGAAATGGAATATAACAGTTGTAGAATATATTTGGATGCTGGCGTACACAGTCTGGCCTTAGTTTCCGGTAAGAAAAACTGCAGCTACTCCAGAGAATTATGTTTTCCTTCTTTATTAATTCCTCACATGAACAACGTACAGGATGTGTCTTGTTGTGGTTTCCTGAATTACACAAAATAAATAAACAGCAAATATATTATTATTTTAACGAAATAAAGCAATAAGACTGTGAACTAAACAGATACACAGTACTATGCAGTAAAATAACATGAGGTCGGAATGACACTCCGTAATAGCCGCACGTGGGCGCCTCAGACCACATCATTACACTGTCATACACAACAACTGTACTAAACGTAAATGTCGTCGGGTGCAGAGCCCGTACGCAATATTAAACACACAATGAAATAGTATTATATGTCTAGAACATATATATTAGGGAATTCAAACATATTAACCAGACTCTGGTAATATATCTAATGTACAAAAAAACGTGTGTGCGTCAGTACTTTTACAACATAGCAGCTAACATAACAATAAACAGTGAATATAAACTTACTCTGCACTCACGCACAACGGACACAAGTTATTTGGCTCTGCTCAACGCTCTCGTAACAGAGAAGGAGGTGTGCAGCACGCGACGGGTAACTTAGCTACCGTCGGGACGGTTCTGACGTTCCTTCGGGACAACTCGGGTCCTTCCGGTTGCGATCGGCTCTTCCCGTACACGGCAGAGCAGGGAAGTTTGCACAGCCGCCCCCAAATTCACCTAGTGAATTTGCAGTTTCACAAAGGTCCCTGCTGTGTTGTAAGATCAGTCTCAGTCCTCTGGCATTTCTGGCAGGGGGATGAGTTTAGCCACTGGCCGTGTGTATGTAGACCCTTTAATGTTCACCTCAGCTGTGCGTATCCGGCCGTCATCACTGGGGATCACTTTGGTGACTCGTCCAACTGGCCACAGTGCTCTTGGCAGCTGTGGGTCAATGATCATGACCACCTGATCTGGAGTGAGGTCCACAGTAGAACTATGCCACTTCCGACGATGTTGAAGGTTGGGGAGATAGTTCCTTGTGAACTGGAGCCAGAAGTGATCTGCCAGCACCTGGCTGTGTTTCCAGCGACGACGTCCAAGCAGGTCACTGTTGTGATACACGACTTGTGGTAGTGATGCATCCCGCCGCCCCATGAGTAGGAGATTTGGCGTTATGGGGTCAGGATCTGCGATGTCTGACGTAGCATAACCAAGGGGCTTTGAGTTAAGAATCCCCTCAACTTCTATCAGGACCGTCATGAGGACTTCCTCTGGGAGCACTTGGTCTTTCAAGACTACTTGCAGGGATGCTTTAACAGATTTGATTTCTCTCTCCCAAACACCGCCAAAATGAGGTGCTAATGGTGGATTGAATCGGAAGTTGATGCTCTGCTCAGCAAGCTGATCCTTTAGTGATGGCTCAAGTGCGGCGAAGGCTTCTTGCAGCTCTCTGTCTCCTCCGCGGAAATTAGTGCCTCGGTCACAGAGAATCTCAAACGGCTTCCCTCTTCTTGCCACAAAGCGCCGTAAGGCGAGCAAAAAGGAGTCAGTGTCCATGCAGCACAAAAGGTCCAGATGCACACACCGAGTGGTGAGGCATTTAAAGACAATACCCCACCTCTTCTCATGTCTGCGGCCTATTTTGATGGTGTACGGGCCGAAACAATCCACGCCGGTAGACCAGTATGGCGGTTGGTTGATGCGCAACCGTGCAACTGGCAGGTCGGCCATCTGGGGAATGACAGGTTTGCTGCGCCATTTGCGGCACTCTGTGCAGCTATGCTGATGTTTCTTGACAGCTTGACGTCCACGAATAATCCAGTATGTCCTCCTTATTTCTGCAAATACACGGTCAGGACCTGCATGAAGCAACCGGTTATCATAATCCTGTATGAGCAACCGCGTGACATGGTGGTTTGGTGCCAGGATGATAGGATGGATGGTGTCCTCCCCTAGATTCTCTGCCTTTCGAAGTCGACCTCCGACCCTTATCAACTCCACATTTTCGTCGTAGACAGGGGATAGAGACAGCAAGCTGCTATTAGAGCTGAGAGGTTTACCAGCTTGCAGGGCAGTAAACTCCGCCGGGAAACACTCCTGTTGTGCTCTCTTCAAGATGACAACTTCTGTATTGACTCTGTCGGCTGCAGTCATGGGAGGAGCAGCCGCCCCGTGTAGGGACTGGAATGTGGCACCTACCAGTTCTGACCATGAGTTCACCTGAGTTACATCTGGGACTGGAAGGCTGCTTACTGTGATATTACCACAGAAGATGGTATCACGTATTTCTTCAGCTGGTGTAGGTGTGTAACTTACAGCAGGATCAGTTGGCCACTCGGCTTGAGGCTGGTGGAGAAAGGTCGGACCACATGTCCAGCGATTTGGCTTTACTAGTTCTGCCAGGGATTTCCCACGGGTGATATCGTCAGCAGGATTCTCTTCCGAGGGAACATGTCTCCATTTGTCTGCTCCAACTAGCTCTTGGATCTCTGCTATCCGTGTCCCCACAAACACCTTGTACTGCTGAGATTCAGACTGGATCCAGTGTAAAACAGTCGTGGAATCAGTCCACAGTGTTGTTTTATTTACTGGTAGTGTCAACTCTGTGTGTAGGACCTTGGCTAACTGTGCGCCTGACAGGGCCGCACACAGCTCCAGACGAGGTATTGATAATTGTTTCTTCGGTGCTACACGAGACCTTGCCATCACAAATGCCACCTGTACCTTTCCTTCACTGTCTTCAACCCTCATGTATGCTACAGCACCATAGGCTTTCTCTGAGGCGTCGCAGAAGATGTGTAGTTCAACAGGAGTATCAGTAGGAACGTTAGCGGTGTAGCAACGTGGCAGTGTGACGTATTGAAGCTGGGGGAGCTCGTTCTCCCACGCTTGCCATACAGGGAGGAGACGGTCCACAATGGGCTCATCCCATCCTCTTTCTTGTCTCCATAGGGCTTGAACTATAACCTTGGCACGTGTGGTATACGGTATGATGTAGCCCAGAGGGTCGTATTGACTGGCTAGAACCCGGTATACATATCTCATGGTCGGGTCGGTCGCTGGGATGGTTCGGTGTTTGTATCCAAGAGTGTCAGGTCTGCAGCGCCACAGGAGACCGAGTGTTGACTCCTGTGGGTCGGTCTTATTTGCAGTCAGCCATAACTCACATCCTGCTGATTTGGCTTCGGGAGGTAGATGTGCAATAACCTCAGGCATGTTGCTAGACCACTGTCTCATATCAAAACCTCCACTGGCAAGGAGAGCTCTCATCTTGTCAATGAGCTGTCTGGCTTGAACCGGAGACGGCAGAGACTGGAGACAATTGTCTACATAAAATGATTGCAGCACAGATTGGACCACGTCTTCATTGCCCTCACTGTGGTCTTGCACATGACGCTGCAAAGCATAGGTTGCACAGCATGGGCTACAGGTCGTCCCAAATGGCAAAACACGCCACTCGTAGACATCTGGGCTGTGCTCTTTCTCACCATCACGCCACAGGAAGCGAAGGAGTGGCTGGTCTTCAGGGAGGAGACGCACCTGATGGAACATGCCGCGGATATCTCCACTGATGGCTACAGCTTGTTCTCTGAACCTCAGTAGTACACCAAGTACTGGTGCACTCAAGGTAGGACCAGGAAGCAGGTTGTTATTGAGGCAGGCTTGTTGATAGTTGAATGAACAGTTGAAGACAACTCTGGCTTTACCATTATGATAAACAAGATGGTGAGGGAGGAACCAGGACTCTCTTGACCTGCTCACCTTATCAGCGTTGATCTTGACAGCATATCCAGCCTTCTCCAATTTGTGTATCTCCTCATTATACACTGAAGATTGTTCAGGGTTAGTAGCAAGGCGGCGCTCTGTTGCTCTGAGGAGAGCCATCACGGCCGTGGGTGGAGCATGGAGCGTGGGTGCATTTGGTTTACGCAACAATGGAGTAGCATAGCGGGACACACCGTCTACTGTGACTCTGATGGTCTTTTGCTCCAGTTGTTCCATAGCTGCTTTATCCTCGCCAGAGCGGATCACCTCCTTACTGTTTCTGAATGGCAACGTGTCTAGCTTCCAAAGTCTTTCAACATTTTGATGTAGTTCTTCAGAAGGGGAGAGGAATGAAGAATGAAGACAGCTGTTCTCACCTGATGAATGCTGCAGGAAGGTGGCAGGTCCCTGCACAGCCCATCCCAGAACCGTGCACACAGCTACAGGTCCACCGATTGGGCCAGACCGGACTGGGGATACTGGTGTTATCAGGTGAGGGTTGTCAGAACCAATGAGTAGCATAGGCTTGACTTTATTGTAGGAGAACAGTGGAATGTCTCTCAAGTGCTGGTAGCTTCGTTTCAGGTTTTCAGCTGCACATGACTGTTCAGCCAGATTCAGCTCTGCTGCTGTGAAGGCATGTTGGATGTCGTGTTTCATCCCTTTCTTCTTCAGGGGTGACACTTTGAGTGAGACTGTAGCTCCCTTTACCTGCACCTTGTCCTGTCTAATTGTCCTCAGGGACAAGATTTCTTCCTTTCCTTTGAGACCAAGGTGATGCACAGCAGCTGGTAATATGATTGTTCGTTCAGATCCGTCATCCAGAATAGCGTAAGTACTGAGTGTTTTCTTCCCATTGTGCAGGCGTACTGGAACAACCTTTAGCATCACTCGACCTGAATGGCTAATTTGGTCTGTGTAAATCATGCTGGGGGATGTACTCACAGTCAGGACAGTCTCTATTTGAGCCACATCATGGAGCACAGATAAGTGTTGTTCCCCACAAGTTGAACAGGGCTTCTTTAAGGTGCAGTTGTCAGATGTGTGTCCTCTCCCACACCTCCAGCATCTTTTCTTCTCCTTTATCCAGTCAGCCTTTGTATTGTTTGTGAGCTTAGCAAAGTCACTGCATGCGTTGAGGTAGTGTTCTTGGTTGTTACAGTAAGGGCAATAGGGCTTGAACCTATCACGCTTATTAGACTGTGGTGGAGGGATTGATGCAGGAGCTGGATTATGTTGCTGAGCCCCCTGGTGGTTACCGAGTAGAATAGTTGCAGACTTCACTCTTGGCTGCTTCACTGATCTGTACTCCCTGCTGTCAGCATGTGTGGATTCTGGTGGACGTGTACCTATTCGACGGGATACCTGTAGTGTCTGGACTTTCCTCTCAAGCCACTCTGCCAGATCTGGAAGAGTATATGTCCTCTCGCTACCACTCTGGATAATTCCCCTAGTGAAGCAGTATTCAGCGAAGGCATCTCTGAAGTTAGCAGGCAGCTTGGTGAGCAGTGTGTCAACATGAGAACCACACCGCAGCTCTGCAGATGAAGGACCTTGCATTGTGCTTAGCATGCCCACTAGTGTTCCAACTGATGCTGCAAAATCTTCAATACCTTGATAGTCTCCGGCCTTCACTGGTGGAGCGTTTAGGATGGCATTGAGTTCTCCCTGCACAAGCTGTCTGGGCTGACCATATCTTTGCATGAGGGCTTGCAATGCAGCAGTGTATGGCGTTGCACTATTGATGAACCTCTTGGCTATTTGAAGTGCTGCAGGGAATCTGAGGTGGTCTAGAAGGACTTGATACTTGTAGTCTTCACTTAAGTGTCTATGGGGCCCAAGAACACCGTCCAGGCCCTTCTTAAGCATCAGAAAGTCACTTTCCCTCCCTGAGTTAAAAACAGTCAGTTTGGGCTTGGGAATACCAAATGATGAGGCAATAACCATCTCTAAAACACCTGGTGCATTCGGGTTATCTGGTGGCCGCACAGTTGCAGGTGGCTGTTGAGGATAGTAGTGTTGGACAGGAGTTGCAGGGTATGGTTGAGGAGGAGGCTGCCAATACCTGGGTGCGCTGTATGCTGGTCGTGATGGGGCAGGTGCAGTCTGGACCGGCAGGGCAGGAACTGTGGAGACTGCAGGTGGCACCAGTGAGGTAGAGGGATTTGGTGCTATCATGTTTACTGGAGGCACAGGTTGTGCAGGCAGGGCCCATGATACAGGGATTACCCGGTCAATAGGTGCTGATGGAACAGAGGCTGTGAAGTCCACTCGTGTCATTTGTGAAGTAGGAGCAGATAGTATCGATTCAGCGTCTGAAGCTTGTTCCACATCGTCAACCGGCTGTGCAGCAGAATCTTGTTCCACAGCTTCTGTCAGTTCAGCAGAGAGTGCGTTTTGCATTGATGAGGCAGCAGCTGTGTCCTGATCTTGAGAGAGGGGCACCATTGGGGCTGGAATATGTGATGCAGATGGGTACTGTGCCATCCTAGTTGGACTGGGACACATATTAATCCTCCCTAGATGGGGAAGGCTACTGTACTGAGGCATATCTGCAGCATATTGGTGTGAGCGATATGTGGGTTGAGTATAGGCAAACTGAGGGTGAGGAGTTAGCCTCACATTGTCCATTTCAGCTTGCAGCTCTCTCATTTGGTGTCTCATAGTCTGCCAGCGTGCCTCTAAGCACTTAAGTCTATCATCAGGGCTCTCGTAGGACTGATATGTGGGCACTGGATATGGAAGGAGTCCTCCCATGTTGGGTGCTGCTACATATGTTGTTGTCATCGGTGACACTGTCCTTGTCATGGTGGGATGAAGGGGTTGGAACGGGTAGCTGAGCTCGTAGTCTTCCAGATGTCCGGGAATGCGTCGCACCCTGCTGGGACGGGGACTCGGTGGCTGCTGCCCATCGTAATAGCCTCTGCTTGTAGCCATGGCGCAGCTTGTGTACATCCGGCTCGAAGGACCACTTGTAGAATATATTTGGATGCTGGCGTACACAGTCTGGCCTTAGTTTCCGGTAAGAAAAACTGCAGCTACTCCAGAGAATTATGTTTTCCTTCTTTATTAATTCCTCACATGAACAACGTACAGGATGTGTCTTGTTGTGGTTTCCTGAATTACACAAAATAAATAAACAGCAAATATATTATTATTTTAACGAAATAAAGCAATAAGACTGTGAACTAAACAGATACACAGTACTATGCAGTAAAATAACATGAGGTCGGAATGACACTCCGTAATAGCCGCACGTGGGCGCCTCAGACCACATCATTACACTGTCATACACAACAACTGTACTAAACGTAAATGTCGTCGGGTGCAGAGCCCGTACGCAATATTAAACACACAATGAAATAGTATTATATGTCTAGAACATATATATTAGGGAATTCAAACATATTAACCAGACTCTGGTAATATATCTAATGTACAAAAAAACGTGTGTGCGTCAGTACTTTTACAACATAGCAGCTAACATAACAATAAACAGTGAATATAAACTTACTCTGCACTCACGCACAACGGACACAAGTTATTTGGCTCTGCTCAACGCTCTCGTAACAGAGAAGGAGGTGTGCAGCACGCGACGGGTAACTTAGC